AGAAAGAAAGAAAGAAAGAAAGAAAGAAAGAAAGAAAGAAAGAAAGAAAGAAAGAAAGAAAGAAAGAGAAAGAAAGAAAGGGAAGAAGAAAAAAGGTAGGGAGGAAGGAAAGAAAGTGGGAAGGAGGAAGGGAGGGGAGGAAGAAAGGAGAAGAAAGAAGGATGGAAGGAAAAGGAAGTTCATTAGTTCAAGTTTATTGTCTAAGGCTAGCTTTAGGCATGGGATACAGCTGACATTACCAGCACCTAGTTATGCTGCATCCTTTGGCTTTGACTTCCATGGTGATAGCTTTTCTAGAGATTCATCCCTTATTGTAGTAAGGTCCTATAGCAGCTCCAGCCTCCCAACCTCCCAGACTTAAATCCAATAGGAATAAAGATCCAGAAAAACTCTCATTTCATCTCACTGGCTCCAGATGGGTAACATGCCCATCCCTTAAGTAATTGCTCAGTCCTAGGTAATGTTGTGCTTTGTGCTTTGATTGGCCTCCCCTAAAGCAAATGCCTTACCCTTGGAACTAGAAGGAAACCTTGCTTGAAACCTATGAACAGTCAGGATCGTGGTGGTGGTATAGGAACATCCCTCAAAAGCAGAGTTGGAATACTATTATTGGACAAGAGGTGGATCGATGCTTGTCAACAAAAACAATAAGTGTGTGCTTTAGTCACATACTGGTCATATTTGCAGTGCCTCAATACTTGGTAATATTATAAATGTCAGAAGATATATATATCTATATAAACATATGTATATATAGATATATTTCTAATGAAAACGGTAAAGCGAGAAAATATGCTATATATAAGTTAGAAAATGTTGTATGCATATATATAGCATATTTTCTCACTTTACCGTTTTCATTAGGAAAAAATATATCTTCTATGTGTACCATCTTAAAGACTTAGAAATCTTGCAAGATAGTTAGAAGACTCTTTCCCCAAAATAAGTTGTTCTACTGTAATCATATATTCCACAAATCTCTGTGATGAGCATTAGCTTCACTTATCAAATGAATACATGAATATTCTGGTCTCACTTTACAAATGTGCATAATAACAGGCTTTTGTATAACAAGATTCTAATTCAAAAAAAATAAATTAAGGAGTAAAACAATTACAAAGTGATTTGCCAAATGTATTTTTGGGGGGAGGTTAACCATAATAACACACACTGCACTATTTTTGTCAGGCACTATTTTAAGAACTATAAAATCATTTAATTCTCATCACAACTTGATAAAATAGATGCTGTGATTATCCCCATTTAAAACACAAGGAAACTGAGGCACCAAGAGGTTAAACCATTTGCAACCTGCATGAGTTTTCACAGCTGGAAATAGCAGAGACAGAATTCGAACTCATGCCCTCTGGCCACAGAATCCATGTGCCTAACCATTATGCAATGCTTCTCCAGCCTTTTTCAGGAACCACTTGCTATCAGGAACACCAAGGTAGTGGACAGTTTCTTTGACATCGTGTTAGTTGTAGGGTCACTCATTTCTGTCCCATCCATCCTAGCTAGTGAATGTGTCCTAGGATATTTAAAAGGGTGAATACAAAATGTTTTACCAAAACATCCAAGATATATGATGAGCAACGTGTGAATATTTTTTCCATTTTAAAAGTACTTTTATGCAATATAGATTTGAAATAAGAATCATAGTCTCTTATTTCTGATTTCCCAGGATGAAGTTTTCAGAAGGTCTGCACATTAGCTTTTCTTCCATTTGCTCTTGTTAACAACAAACTGACATTTTATGAGAATGCTAAATGGCATGTTACGTGAAGTTTTTAAACTTCATTCAGTTGCATTGCTTTACAGACAGGTGATTTTACGTTACAACTTTTCAGGCCAGACATTATATATGGAAGACTCATAAGTAATTGGAAAGGCAAACAATATTATTTTAAGTAGTCAGAAAGGAACGAATATTATGAATTAGATTTCTAAATACTGATAACATTTTTTTGCCTTTCAATCCCGTCTTTTAAAAATTTTTCTCACTTATAAAAGAGGAA